CTGGCAAACGGCGTTTGGACCGAGTTCAGGAATGCAAACCATTTATTTGCAGGGAGATATTTTACCTTAACCCTCTGTGAAATCCTGCGTGCTCCGCCGAGAAGGAACCCGGGCGCACCTCTGCCAGCGAAAACGGGGTGAAATCTGTGGGATTTGAGGTGGCGTTAATGCTTAACGTCGGCGTTCCCTGGATCTGGCGGTGAACGGGGAGGGTGAAGGCGCGTCCCGGCCACGTTACTTTGCCGTTCGTAGCGATGGGTGATGTTTTGTGAAATAATATTTCCTCCTCATTAAAGCAGCGGGGTCGTTGCGAGCGTCGCCTTCCTAAATATAGAAGGGGCACAAGAATAGGACGACATCTCGTTTTGGGAGATAGCAGCGGGTGGATCACCGTAACCTGACCGCGTCTGCTTGGGAGGGATCTACAAAGCCTAAATCCCCCCGGAAAGCGGCAGATAAGGGATGTTAACGTGCGCAGGGAGGGAAGAACAACCGGTGACGGCTGCTGGGGGGGGTTTCGTGTCACCTCCTGGCTCGTCACACGCCGCCCGTGTTGAATTCTAGGAGGGATCGTGTCTCGGCCTTGGCCAAAGCAGCGAGCGGGGAAGAAATCTGTCCCCGATACCGCTGGAGGAAGGGTTTGAGTCCAGGTTTTAATCTGGTTTTTGAGCTTTCTTGCTATGAAAGGGAGGAAAACGGAAGTCTCTGTAAGCTTACGAGGGGAATTGGTAGGGTTTTTGGGGGTGTAATAGCTTTAAAGTACCTATTATTAACGCTAACATCTAAATCCGAAAGCTTTTGGAGAAACATTGGCAGTGTTACTGGGGTGGGTTTTTTTGGGTGAGGATTAGTGCGATTCAAAGAGCGGCTGTGCAGAGCGGATGTGAAAGGGGAAGCTGCCCGGCGGAGCCAGGGAATCCCAACGCAGAGAGCTCGCGTGCCGCTTCTGGATCCACCTTCTTCTCCGGGATAAGTCCCCTGGCTGCTTTGAGCCTGTTCCTTTCGGTCGCTTCAAAGCAGAGCATCAAAATAACTTTGCTTAGCTGGGATTAAGACGACGGGGTTGCGTACGAGCCATGAAGGAGTCATCGTCTTGCTCTAAAACTTCCAGAACTGAGCTACGGATAATTCACAGCGACTGGAAAAAGGACTGGGACTCTGCTGTACCGACACAGATTTGCAAATTAATTTATGCCGTGTCGGATCAGCGACGTGGAAGGGTGAAGGGTTTATCGCTGTCGCGTGTGCTGCCAAAGCTCCCGTCGAGCGAGCTGGGATGTTTTGGGGTTGGTTCACGATAAAAACTCCGGGTTTTAGTTTCGAGCAAGCGCTCTGCAACCTCTTATTTTTATTAAATAGCTCAGAAGGGTTTGATATTCATTAAATACCGGTTTGAAGAAAATACCGAAAGGTCGTTTTGGGTCGAGAGCGAAAGTTAAATTCCAGCGCAGGGGGTTTCTGCTCCGATTTCTCCGGGAGACTTTGGTGGTATTTGGGGAAGGCATCGAAAAACCAGCGTTGTGTTTGTCTCTGCTTCGACAACCGAAAGGATTAAGAGCGTTTTTGGTGTACTGCGAACTCGTGGTGTCTTAATCCACGTCTCCTGTCTTACGATGGACACCTCCACGCAGGGCGAGCTCAGTCGGGGCAAGATGTTTTCCGTACGGATCTGGAGATCGCTTGGAGCATCGAGGGAAAGGTGTTGGGAAGTGGGAAGGATGCGGAATACCTTGAAGTGAGAGTGGGAACCGGGGAGGAGGACCCAAACCTGCAGAGACCCAAACCCCTTCCTTTTAGGTGTGTTTCATCCCTCTTTCGTGATACTTTTGAGCTTCTGCTGCAGGAACTTGATGCTGTGCCTTGCCTTCACCAGGAACCGGAGGGAAAATCGGGAGCTTTTATCCAAAATTACTGAGGCCAAAGCGTTTGGGAGGTGCCGGCATGCTTTTGAGGAGCGAAACTCGTCTCCTGGGCTTTTCTGATCCCTATTTTCATGTGAGGAAGCAGCTTCGTTACTGTTCCTAGTATTTGGGGGGGGAATTTTGTCCCTTTGTTAACCGCTCGCGTCTGTGTCACCGCTCGTCAACTGCCAGCGGGAGGAGAGTTACTAATTATAACTTTTCCGAAAGGCTCGGGATGATCCTGCCCTGACTCTCGCTTCGAGGCGACGGCGAAGCCCGAAGGAGGGAGACGGCGCGGATCCAGAGAAACGGAAAACGGGCGGGGGGGGGGGGGGGGGCGAGGGGAAAAAAAACCAACCGAAAACAGGAACTGTTTGGTAGCGGCGAGGACTCGGGCAAACATCCTGACACCAGAAACTCCGTGAGCGATAGCCCGGAAACGGGAAATCGTGGATCGGTTTGAAATTTGAGGGATTTAGTGTCGGTTTGTTGCCTTCTGAAGAAATATTCCCGATTTAGGAAAGGGAGGGAGCTGAGGCCGTGCGGGTTTTGTGTCCTTCGTTAGTCAGGGCTTAGCCCAAATGCAGATTTTTGTTCAGTTAAGTCGTCGGTATAACATATTTCAAGCCTAGTTAGGCTTTGCAAGCTTCTAACGCCGCTCAGGAGCATTCCTGTAATGACGGTATCAAACCTGCAAGGTGAAAAAATTCATGTTTTTAAGACAAAATACCCCAGAACCTGGTGTCCCATGGAAAGCAACGGGGGTCTTGGAGCCTGCGAAGCAAACGTGGTGCACGCCAGGCAGCCGCTGAGTGAAATAAGAATTTCCTGGGACAGGTTTGTGTTCCCCAATTGCAAATTATTTTACTTTTTTCCGTAATATTTTCATTGACGATCTGGGTGCGGTGCGAGATCCTTGCCGGGTTTCCCTGTGGTAAATCAGCTAAAACCTGAGATTTCGGCAAAGCACTGAAAACTAGAATTTGGGGTGGGTTTCCTCCCAGGTCTAGAGGTGGCTGGCGTGTGGCACGTCTCGGGGGGGGTTATAAAAATAGCCAGAAATCTGGCAGAATTAGTGATTTGCAGAAGGCCAATTGAAACACGTCGGATTTTCTTCCGAGTGGACCGATGCGAGCTCGTCGCGTGACTTCTGGGGGGGAGTTATTGGAGCAAAACCCGCGTTCACCCGACTTAAAAAAAAAAAAAAATTGGTTGATTTGACTTACAAAGTGTAAAGTTGTGCTTCAGTCGCGTGGGTCCTCGTTAGCGCTGACGGATTAGTAGGCTTAGCGAGCTGCGAGGGGGTCAGACGGGCGCGGAGCAGCGCTAACGAAGCGGTTTGTGTTTTATTGGAATGGATGCCGAATTAAATTAAAACTTGAGATTTATAGGTCAGGTTTTTGCCTTACTTAGGGGATGAGCAGCGCGCTTAAAAAAATCTGAATAATGTTAAATGAATAAACGCGTAATTAAGCAATTATATGTTTAAACAAACCTGGGTACTTCAGGAATTAAGTAGTCTTTTACAGTATCGTGTCAGCTTAATTTAATTATTGTCTGCCAGCACGTTGGCTTTAATAACCGAGATATGAAAGCAAAACAAGCTTGGAAACTTAAATTATGTCATACCTGCTAATTAAAACAAGGTTTAAAACTTATTTGAGCTTTTCCGAGTTGATGTATCCCGGAGATTCGCGGCGCGCTTGGAGTGATCAGCCAGCAGGGTTACAGATTATTTAAAGAATAATCCTGAAGTTTATAATAAATGAATTATAGGAGCTGAAGGGCAATAAATGAACTATTTAACGAGCTGTAATCTCGCGGACTGTCGAAACGTTTGCGGTTTGCTCTGGTGTTAGGGGTTGTTTCCCCCCCCCCCCCGTCAGA